GAAAAAGGGCATAATGAAGGGACATCGACACCCCGGCCGCAAGCGGCGCTAGTGGAATAAAAATATAAAAAATCCAAAAATTCATTTTTCATCGATAAATACCCTTTATTCGATCGGAGTAACATTTATTCTTACTTAAAGCATATTATTCATAAACTTACAAATATCGTAGAATTTTGTTTTCATTTTTTTTAAGATTATCTCATTTTTCCCATATAAATAGCAACAATTAATTAATGAAGAAAATTAACATGGAACAGTGTCTAAGAATTAATCAAAAAATTACGTGATGTGTTTGCATTTTGTTATTGGATCTCTATTCGCTCATTTTGAATTAAAAAAGAGTGAAAAGTCGAAGAAAAATATTGAAAATCATCTGACGATGAAAATTGAGAATAGACCACTAAATTGACATTTCAATTGCAATTAACGGTTCAATTAATGATTCATTTGTTTCTTCCTTTTAGATCTATTCAATATTCTCACTACACGGTGCTGATTAAAGTACATTATTTATTCATTAATTAATTCTCATAATTCTCATTGATTCTTCGTCTCAATAATTCATTTTATCTCGTTTTAAAATTGTCAGGATTTTCTTAAGCGTAAATAATTGTTTTTCTCTAATACTGTATGTACATTATCACTTCCTAAGTAATGGTAAAAATTATTTAATACTTTTTCATTTGCAGTTTTTGCAATTTTTGTTTCATTGAGAATTTTTTAGATTTAATTTTCTCTCTCTCGCTTTTGTTTATTGAAATTATTCTGTTTTTGTTTCTTCAATTTTTTGTTCTTGAAAATGATAATTAGTCGATTGGAAATGGAGACAAGATAATTAAATATGAATAAAAATAAATCATGATTAATTAGTTGTTGGATTTTTTGTTTCTGTCGCAATTCATCAGTTTTTTAATTTTGTTCATTTTAATACTAGTGACACCTTGTTGTATACTTTATTTATTATCCTCGAATGTCTTCAGCTTTGTCCATTATTTCAATTGGGGGATATTTTCATCGACTCTCAAGCGCTCGTTATTTACACCAGATATTCTTAATGATTTTTTTTTGTATTTTCACATTTAGGTCAGCGGAATCTTACAGAGTAAAACAAATATTTTTTTGGTTTACAGTCTTTCCTTTACCACACGACAATAGCGTATTGTGTTTATAATTATTTAGTCTGGGCACCATGTCGAATGATTTCATTCGTGGCAAATTAAATTGTCGTTTTGCTTCCGAATGGATACATTGTATTCGTCAAATCCAAAATTTCCAATTTTTTGTATTAGTGTAACCAATTTTTGCCTTAGGAGTAAGAATATGTTATTTTCATCACTTGTGCGTGAAGCAAAATTTTACGCACGCTCCGCGTATGCAAAATCTCATTTTCTACACATCGTGATGAAAAATAAGGTTCGACGCCGGTGGAAAGCGTATTCTTTGACTCTTGGGAGGCGACACTCGCATTCGGCGCGCACTAAACACGTCCCATGGATAAAAAATACGCACTTTTATCGAAATATACTATTTTCGACCATGTCTAGATGTATGTATGTATGCATCTGCGTGTGTGTATACATGCATCTGCGTGTGTGTAGGTGTGCATGTGACCGATCGTCTTTCGACGAGCGACTGAAAAAATAATTGTTTAAATGAATCCAATTCGTGATTTAAGATATTCTTCCCAATGCCATCTTGGCCGATTCGATCATGAGATTGATTGCATCATCAAATTTATTTTGAAAGCAATATTCAGGGAAAGATAAAAAAATTTAACGTTGGGGCAATATTGGCTGCCAACGTTGAGCCAATGTTGGGGTAACGTTGAATTCAATGAATCATTGATTTCAATTTAAAGTATATTTTCATGGAAATTCCATTTGGAAACAAATTGCTAATTTATTAGCAAAAATATATTGACTATGTTGTGATGAAAGCAATTTCCCACTTATTTTGACTCAGTGTGTGAATATCAAAGTTAGAGGGAGAATGACGTTTTTGGGACCTACGATAAAATATATCATTTTTTTTTGCAAGGCGTGTGAAAGAGTTCGATAGAAAAAATTGGAGTTTAATAAGTTTCTATGAGAAAATAACCATCTAGTCAACTTTTTTTTGTAAGTATTGGAAAATCAACTCTGGTAGAATTTGCATCTTGAGAAATTGAATCAATGCAATCAAGAGAAATGAAATAGTGTCATTTCAGTACCAATGAAATTTTTTTAAACAACGTTATAAATAAATCGACAAGAAAAAGATTGATCACCATCTATTGATGATTAACTCTTAAAGCAATGTAAGCATAACTTGAATTTGAAGATTAGAATCTGAAATAAATTCTAAATGAAAGTTAATATGAATAGAAACATTGTGGTTAAATTTGTGCTCAATCGGCAATCTAGTATTATTGATAATAATTAATCTAGAAGTGCAAAAATGAACTAGAGTCTTATGAGAAAATGAACTTTTCGAGGTTAGGTAAAAGATGAAAATATAGAGAACATCTCAAAAAATCAGAAAAAAATAAATAAAAATTCCGAAAGCGGGAAATTCCGAAAAAGTATGGGGATGGCAAGTTTTTTGACAAAATTGAAATCTTGCTTGAAAAAAGTTGCTACCTTGGACGAACTACTTGGATATTCTTAATGATTAGTAATCAATCTTCCTTTTTCCAAGTCAGCCTAAACGCCGAATGAAACCGAGAAAATGATGCTCAAACTATTCTTCTGATTTTATCTTCATCCTCTCTGACTCTCTCTTTCTCTCCCTCTTTCTCTCCTGACACGTGCTGCATTTATCACTAAATATAGCAATAAACAAATGTACAAACATCGTATACAGATGAAATTTCTTTCGCATAAATAATAGTAATAATAATAATAATAATAATAATAATAATAATAATAATAATAATAATAACAATATTCCTATAATAATAAAAATGCATAAACACAAGAAAGAAATTGAAAATAATGAAATCACAAATTGTTCCATAAAATTTCTAAAATACATCCTAAAATTGAAAAATGATAAATCAACTAATTAATAAATCAATAATCACTGATTAATAAATTGCATATATTAATCTCAATACTGAATATTCCCCTATTGAGCGATTTTTTTTTTCACCTAAAAAATCAATTCTATAAATTTCACATTCTTTTGGCATTAATAAATTCGACATTTGTCATCATCTCAAACTGATGACCTTAAAATTATCCTCACCCTTTCAATCATAATTGATATATCCACGTATTCATTCAATTATTTAAAATTACTCAATTTATATACAGACTATGGACAAAAATTCATTTAATCTAATTAATTTATCATTTTTTAATTTATTCTGGGAGGCGTTTAAATGATTACTATAATTAACAGTGAAGGATTAATTTTTCTCTATTCGATTTTCATTATCTTTTAATATTTAAAATTCTTTCAATAGCATTTGGAGGGGGGGGGGGCTCTAATTAATATCGAAATATCTTCAATAATAAATGACAACTTTTACAATTTTAATTGATTATTCTTCTGATGAATATTTATCCGTAGATCACCGATTATCAAGCGGGGTGGGGAGGGCCAAAGGATATACATGACTAAGCGTAATAGAATTTTTTTTTAGATTTTTACAGGTTTAGATCGTGAGAAATTGACGACTGAATTTCTCCTTTTCTGATTTTTTTCATGGTTAAGTCGCCATGACTATTTACAAATGGGGGATTTCCAAGATTATGTCGTCCTGGGGTTTAGTCACTTTTCGGGTATTTACAATTGATTTTTCGTCATCTTGAGGGTTTCGGTGGCGGTAGATTATGATCGATGATCGATTTTTTATTATTTTGGATTGAGTGAGATGTAGAAAATTGTTGAGATTTTTTTTCGAACATCTAGACAATTTGATGGAGAGGGCAATTGATATTTCGCGTAGGGAATTGGATTTTTGCATGAAAACAAATTTTTCCTAGGGCTATTTCCGAATTTTTCAATCATAATTTGATATTTTTTGAATAAATCATGCATATTTGTCATTAAAGAATACAATTGAAAATTGACTCTTTAGTGAAACGTATAATAAAATTTGATAGAAAAACCTAACGCTTTCTCTGAAAAATTCTATTGAATGCTCCCATTCCCAGAAGTGTCGGATGCTATTTTTCATCACAATACGTGTAAATCGGGGTTTCGCGTGCGTAAAATGTCACTTTACACACGGCGTGATAAAATAGACTATTGATTATGTACACTGTTTCATTTCGCTCATTCTTTATCGATTAATTGCGAAGAATTTTCCATGTGATGGAATATCCGCATGAGTTGTCTATGTGAGCATTTTTAGTGATGAATTGGCCAGTAACATCACAATACTGTGTTAGATCGAGGTGTTACCCAATTTAAATAATTTACCCATTGCAACAATAGGGATATACAATGCATTTCATGAATTCCTCATGGATTCATGAGGAGTGAATGTATTTTTTATTTTAAAAAAAACTATAAGACCTAATGGGTATCTTTATAGGGTTGCTTAGAAAAAACGGCAGGATTTTTCTATTAAATTTTTTCCACTTAAATTTACTTGACCGTTTAAAATTCTTTGAATAAAACCTCCAACTCCTCAGCCATTTACGGTTGTAAAAAACAATTTTACTAGTTATTTAAATTAATGAAATGACAAAAGATTAAAAAAACGTCCATTTCTGTCAACGCTTCGGATACAAAGTGTCCTTTATGAGGACAATAATTTGTTCTGCATAAACAAAAACACCAAATCAAAAGCAGTCCTATTGCAATAATGTTTCAACTAAATTGTAAAAATAATTGCACAACCTATGAAGAAACTCGTATTATATATACCTCATAAATCCATTTATTGTTCGTGGATATTATTAAATTTGTTAATGTGTGAAATCGTGAAAAAGGAGCAATAATTGATTAACCGATTGTTTTTCCAGAATTTTGTGCCTCATGCAGAGACCCAATTCCCACCCAGTGCCTCATCCCTCGTTTTTCAATCTCGAAAGTCAGAAAAATTTCAATCCTTAACAGTTTTCTATATCCCAAATTCTCAGTCATATGCATTTCGTCGATGATGATTATCACCATCATCGCGATTTAAATGACCTGCCTACTCTATCCACGTGACTGATGGTCTCAGATGGGCGTTGGCAGAACTGTAAAGTCCTGCAATGCAGTTTTCACAGTCTCATATGTTGGACGATTAGTTTCATCAGCGCAGTATCCATCAGGGGTACAAAGTGTTTGTAATTTTGTTAAATAGCTGTCGAAATTTTCGTGTCCCATTTTCTCCGGTGGACCGCCAGGGGCGCTAGGTATCCTCACGTGCTCCAGAAATGTTATCATGTTGTCACGAAGTGATTGATAGTAATCAGTCAGATGATTATTTCGCTGGGCAATCACCGTTGTTTCCTGGACAGAAGAAAAATAATGTCAATTTTTTTATGATTCCAATTTTTTGCAATCTCCTAATGATTTTTATCAACTGAGGGATGTTTTTATTGATTTTGGAGAGAGCTAGGGAAATTTTAGTTGAAAACACATTTTCTTTCTCGCAAGTTGATTCATCAATTTCAATTATGTTCATGTGATCAATTTTTTCTGGAGTGTCTCTTTCATTTTATTTTATTTGGATAATTTCCCTAACTATCTTATGGCACCCTCATCGCTTCCAACTTCCTTTTCACTCCATGATTAAATAAATGAATGAATAAATCTACAAGTTTCATCAATTTTTTTCTATTTTTCTCATTTAAACTCTTTAAAAATTCACTTTTCACAATGTTCAATTGACAATTTTCATAAAAAATGAAACGAAAAAAATTGTAAATAGGGGATTCCCCTGACCAGCAGTTGGTATCCGCCCCCGATAATACCTAAAATATCGAAAAAATTCTCCAAATTATTCGCAATCGATAAAAAATTGATGAAACAACCGCCAACCGGTCAAGTGAATACCAAACATATCATCCGACAACCCAAACAGTATAGTCCAATTGATGATAGACAAGAGCCTATTATTACCGGCGGAGTAAGCCACAGGACGTGGGTGAATCCTTCTTACCTTGTCCCCTTGCTTCAGATGATTCTCCATAGCTGTAACCTCTGAGCGCAGACGCATAACCTGCGACTCAACTCTCGCATTTTCTCTCTGTAATTCAGTGATTTCAGCTTCCAATGTATACAGATCCTCGCCCTGACCACCAGGTACAATGTTACCGCTTGTGCTTCCCTGACCCGCACCCAACGCACCACCCTGAGCCGGACCACCGGTGTCCACTCCTAAAGTACACAATCCCCTTTTTTTAAACCATCATTTTATGGGTAAAATACCCCATTTTGGCAATTTTGAAAATTTTCAGAATTTTTTTTCTTTCGCATGTGCGCGGAAAGTGCCATTTCGCGGACTCTGTTTGAGCCCTAAATTTGTATTTTACTGCCTAGGTTATAATATTTTTTCCCTTTCGTGATACCTGCATTGAAACTTTAATTTTTTTGATGAATTTAGCGGACAAAAATGGATTTTACTCATATGATTGCAGTCATCGACTTCACCTTAGACGGTCTGTTCAGGCCGTGGGAAGAATTTCCACGGAGCAGCATCCATACGGAGACGGATCCGTGTAACCAATCAGATCGTAAGATTTTCCCGCCAACTTTACTTGCCCGATTTTGATTGGTTGCACGTTTGCGGCTCCGTGAGCATCACACTTCATGAAGATTATCCCCTATAGTCATCAGAAAAGTTTCTTTTTTTAGTCTTAACGGAAATACTCATTCTTTCACATTGTTCCTACAGCACTGTTTTATTGACAAGATGATGAGATTCTTGTGTTTCGCATATGATGTGTCAGGTTTAAATTTTTTCACGTAATTTCTGTTAAAAAAACGTTCTAGCCCTCCTTTTGTTTGAAAAAAATGTATTGATATTATTAGATTCGATAAACCGCGACTATAATCCCACTTTGTTCGATTTGAACGGGGTTTTTGGGCCTCATAACATAAATTGTATTATCCCCAGGGCTATTTTTACTCGGTCAAACCTTAGATGTTTAAAAGTATACATTACATGGGAAACAAGATGCCATATGCTTTCTTTCAACTTTCCGAACCTCTATACAAGGGAAACAATCAAATAATTAACAATGCACAAATTTAAACATTCCGAGGCACACGGACTCGAACTCAAATGGGATATGATCCTACATTTCCAGTTTGCTGCATTCCATGTAATTTATACCTTAAAATATCTAAGGGTTGACAGGCTAAAAATAGCCCTGGGCATAATATAGAATATGAATACACCGGTCGAAATAATTTCTTTCATTTGCTCACAACGTAATATTTATCGCATGTCATTCATATAATATTCCCCGACTTATGTGATTATAATAAATGTATGATCACACTCGTCGAAAAATATTTTATAGGCCTAGGCGTGTAATCTACTATTTCTTTACAGGTATCACAAAAAAAGGTGTGCGTGAAAAAGTGTGACTTTATGACTTGTGACACAATAAACTATGCAGGCCATGAACTACTTTAAACGGCTATGGAAGAACATTTTGATGTTGCGGTCTTTGAAACGCGGCAGCGGTACCAAAGATTGGTTGTAAAGTGTCACTTTTCGTACAAGTGTGGAGAAATGGATACTTTCATCTGATGTTTGAGTCCTCAACGGTATTTCAATATCGGGGAGTCACTAAAATTATCCTAGCAGCAATAAAAAAACCTTAACATCATTCCGGCCGTAAGGTAACGATTTACGAACGCGTAGCTTACAGCCGTTATGACAAAAAATATTATTCGACACACGGAGAGAAATATTCAATAAAAATTACGTATCTTTTCCGTAATTCCGGAGTGAAATGTGGTTGTAGGAAATTTTACGGAACTATCACAGAATTTTTCCAGAGCGTTTCGTAATTTTTATCTGAATCTCTTGTGAAAAATTACGATACCGTCACTTAAATTTTCTGAGTTGATTCCGTAATCCGTGAGCGAATTATGAGTTCCGTAATTTTTACTGAACATTTCTCTCCGTGCATACGGCCTAAAAAGAATTTTCTAGCTCATATTGCCTTCGACTCGGGCTGCAAACTCATATTCGCCAGAAAAGTTTTCTTCTGCCTAAAGCCGAAACATACTATTTTTAACCCTGAACTCAGATATTACGGGCTAGCCCCCCCCCCCCTGCCGATGGAAAAAAATCAATGAGTTGAATGGCCAATAAATACGAGTTCGGGACCTGCACAAATCCTGTCCACTTACAATCATGAAGCAGACTCTCTTTGATTGTTGAACTCGTATTTTATGGCTTAGGCCGTAAAATTTTTCTAGCGCCCATAAGATACGGGTTTAGAACGTATAAAATATTTAATCTCCAACAAAATACGAATTTAAAACCCACAAGAATTCTACTCTCCTAATAGCTGTAAATATAGTTTTACGGCCTAGGCCATAAAATACAAGTTCAAGGGCTCTAAAACAGTACTTTCTTCGAAAAGTGAAAAAAACTATTTTCTCATTATTTGGACGTGTATGAAGTTGCAGTCGATTATTCAAGTCCAACTTCATATTCAGTTGTAAAGTGATCCTTTACGACCTATTGACAAAATCAATACTTTTTTCCATGTCTCCAAGAAAAATACTTGTTCACGGCCTATGTTTGGGTTCTCAATGCTAATCCCGCGACCAATTTAATCATTTAGTTTTTCGTGGTAATGCTAACCCAATCACATAAGTCAGAAAAAAGTCTTTGGCAAAATGTACGAAATTCCAAGATTCGAAATCTGATAATTCTACTTTACGGCTGAGGTCGGAAAATTTGTATTTATTATACAACCCCAGAAGAGTCCGCAAAACGACACTTTTCATAACGATGTGAAAAAAAAAACATTCATTCTCAATTAAATAATTTGCTTCTAAGCAATTTAGACCTCTGCTGTGTACTTAAAGAGTTGTGCGAGGGATTTAAAGAAAAAAAATTGTAAAAAAATCAGGCGTGTTGCGTAACACGAAATGCTAGCAATAAAGGAGACAGGAGCGAAGGAGTGAGGGGGTTGCAATACAAGAACACGTAAGTTTCCACAGCGAGTTGGGTTAAAGTAAATCGATTTCGTTCACGTGTGTACTAACGATTTGCTTCAAAAAAATTTTTTTTTCCACCTTCACGGACACTCCGCTGTATCAAATAAATCATAGTAGAGAATTATAACGTGTACGTATGCCAAGTCGCTGCGAAAGGAATATTTCAATTTGATTTCTTTGCTCTGAGGATAGGATATTTTTGTGTCAAGGATCATATTCTCCTTCTTTTTCTCATAAGCATTTTTCATATTTTTTTTAAGGAAGTGATATTTTTTTCAATATGGATCAGCGTGAGGTGCCATCATACCAGATAAATTGAAATACGAAATAGTGGCTTCGAGTGTTGTTACTGTATCGACAACACTCGAAATAAATTACACTCGTGTAATAAAAAAAATCATTTTTTACACCGATTAAAAAACACACAGAAAGAACATAAAAATGAGAAAAAAATATGTTTTCGTTGAATTTGAACTTTCAGACCCTTACCTTCAAAAGTAAATGTGCTCCTCAACAGGAAACGACAGGAAAGGAGGACCTGTTATCGTCAATCCCCAAGAATAAATCAGAATTAACATTAATTTCACTTTTTTCGTTTTTCGTTTTTCTCTTATTTTTTTTTGTTTTAAAATAGTAGTTCAAAATTTTTTGTCACTATTTTTTACATTATTTCACTACTTCTTTGGTGTTCTGCGACGTTCCTGAAAATTGGATGAAAAGAATTCGAAAAAAGTGGGAAAATAATTTTCGCGATAGAGTAACAAAAAAAGAGTAAGGATTAATAATGAATATTTTTTCTTCTTGTTAATTGGAAAATTGAAAGAAAAAAATATTTTCCATTGGTATGACAGCACATCATTGCGGTGGAGAGAGAAAGGACAGCATTTATGTTGGCATAGCACTCGAAAAAAAGTTATTCTGTATGAAATTTGAACGATATCGATTTCTTCATTTGAGGTTTTTTACCCTTGATTTTTTCTTCTAATCTTGAATTTTTATTTATTATTCCTCACCGGCGATTCCTTTGCTGTACATGCTGGTCATGTCCTCAAATTTGGGCTTCCTCAGGGTGTTGCCGGCTATTGGACAGCCCGAGAGTGATCTGTGGGTTGAGAATGAGCCATTTATGTGACCAATACCGTCACATCCTGGGGTGGGACAGTTAACACCCTCAAATTTCATTGCTGTCGCTGCTGCCACTGCTGCCTTGTGTTGCTCCACTGTACCACCGGATTCTAGGACTCGGAGCTTGTTGCGGTTTGCTATTGGACAACCGGATGCACTGAAAGTAATTTTTTTTTCTATTGAAGTTGATCGGGACTATTTGTCGGACGTGATTCAAAGTTGCAGCATTGAGATGCCCGCAAACAAAAATTATTGGGATTTTGCACGAGACAGAAAATTCATTGAAAAATGTATGATAGAAGAATTTCACTCTGTATTTTACTACATTGACGGCGCGCTCGCGCACGCCTCTATGACGTGAAAATAGACGAATGGTATGATGAAATCGGTCAAGAGTATAACAGACTTCTCATACTTCTGACTTTGGGGACATTTGTCATGTTCGATTCGATATTTGTGTGGCACGACTTTTGAAAAATGACGTCATAACGTCCTGTAAAGATCAGCTAGTCCGATGGCGCGCTTTCGTGCGCCTGTATGGCGTGAGAATAGACGAATGGGATGATGGACTCACTGAGGAGTTTGACGGACTTCGGGATATTAGCGATACTCCATTCGATATTTGTATGATGCTACTTTCGAGAAATGACGTCATGACGTCTTTGTACACTATAAAGAAGAGCTAGGCTGACCGCGCGCTTTTCTGCGCCTCTATGACGTGAGTATAGATGAATGGAATGACGGATCACTCAGGAGTTAAACGGACTTTCCACATATTTGCGCTATATTCCTGACATACGCGATGTTCTATTTAATATTTGTGTGGTACAACTTTCGAGAAATGACGTAATGACGTGTATGTGCACTGTGCAGACGAGTTAGTCTGGCGGCGCGCTCTCGTGGGTCTCTACGACGTGAGAATAGACGAATAGGATGATGGACCCAGTCTAGAGTTTGACGGACTTTCGGAATAGTTGCCATATATTTCCGATATTTACGATGTTCGATTTGATATTTGTATGGCACAACTTTCGAGAAATGACGTGTCTGTGCATTTTACCCCTTAAATGATCACAGCTCTTCACCGAACGTAGTCGGAAGCAGGGTGAGAGAATTCCCACCTCGCGTATTTTACGGTATCATGAAAAAAAAGTTGGGAAAAATCATTCATCCCTCGTTTATGGGTAATGTTGAACTATGAAGGAATAGGAAATGAGGATATAAAATAAGTAATCATCAGATAAACTAAGAACTCGATCTCATTAGGTGCAACATTTTGACATTTCGAGGTTAAACACGGGGATTTTTAGCGGGTCGAGGTTTCAAAACAGTTTAATAATTTATTGTTGGAAGTCTAGACCTAACAAAAATTGTTAATGCGCTTGATATATTTGAAAGTAGGAACACAAATTTTTATGAATTTTTCATTCACGAAGTATTTATGTGAAACGGGAAACCGAAAAACCGCGGGGATTCCCTCATTGTGCGACTACTTAACGGTTAAATAAGGACTAGCCTGACGGCGGGCTCTCGTGCCTCTCTATGACATGAGAATAGACAAATGAGTTGATAGACTCAGTCAGAAGTATAACAGATTTTCGAAATAGTTGCAATATATTCGAGACATTTGCGGAATACGATTCGATATCTGTGTGACAAAAGTTTCGTCTCAGTTTCTTCGTATGATTATTGAATTTTTCATCAATTTTTAAATACCAAAAAGGACTTAGTGGTTTCGTCATAAAAAAATTGTGTTTCAACTCCGAATAGTTTTTTTATAAAAACAAATTTCTTCCGCAAAAATATCAAAAAGGTACGTTGGCAAAAAATTTGGGTTTTTATATGAAGCAGAAAATTCTGAAAAAAGTATGGTGGAAGAATTTTATTTTTTACTTGACTAGTTTGACGGTGCACTTTCACGCATTTTTATGGTGTGAGAATAGATTGATGAGATGATAGAATCAGTCAGCAGCATGATGGATCTTTGAGATATTTGAAATTTATTTGCAATGTTCGATTCGATATGTGTGATATAACTTTTGAAAAATAACGTTATGCATTTTGTGTGAGAAGAAAAAATCAAAAAATGACGAGGGTTCTCTCATTGTGCGACCGAAGGGTGAAATAAGGAAGTTTGATGGTGCGCCCTCGTGCATCTCAGCGACGTGAGAATAGATGAATGAGATGACAGACTGAGTTAGGAATATGATAGATCTTCGAGATATTTCCGACATTCCGTTCAATATTTGTATGACACAAGTTTAGTCTAATTTTTTTCTCGTGATTATTGAATTTTCTTATATGATTAAAAAACGTTTTATCATCCAAGTCATATAAAAAACCTCAAAAGAATTTTTTTACGAAAAAAAAAATTTCCCGAAAAAATATAAAAATTTTCAAACACATTAATTACCTTCTGTGAGACAGGAATTTACCAGTAGCATGCCCTGATCCATCACAACCAGGAATTGGACACCTGTAGTTTCACGGTAATAATCGTCATCATCATCACGTGACAGTTGATGGGTTGAGGAAGAAGCGTGAAACGAGGAGAAACGACATATTAGTCAGTGTCTTTGCTTGTGGAGGGATGGAGGGTGGTTGGGATTTAACTCGGGTTAAATTCTATCTCTCGAGGTTTCAATGCAAAAGGGTTTCTTGTTGAAGGGCGGTGGGATGAGGTAGCGGCAGTGGGAGGGGGAGGGAGTTGAAAGGTGGTGGAATAACACTCGCTCCACTGTCGAATCAGACACGCGTTGCGTGCAACCGTAAACAGGGATAAAATGGGAATTGGATCGATTTAATTATTTTGCTTTGAATTTTGCGATCAACGAAGAAATTTAACAGATTGAAAAATGTGATTTTATATTTTCTGTTTTGATCAATATTCTGCTGATTTGATAGAATTTCTTTTGCCAGAGAAATTTTATGGATTTTTATATTCCACTTCATCTATGTTTATTTTTGTCATTATTGTTGTTACTGAAATGAATTATTATCGATCTTTTGAATACATGAAGAAAAATAAAATGAATTATATTTTTAGAGGTTTTTTAATTGATCAAATCAGTATTAATTGGTAATTATTGAGATGATTGAACAGCTAAAAAAAGGTCTGTATTCAGATTTCGAAGGTTTTAAATGAAAATTTATCAAAAAGCTTGATTCTAAATTTGAAAGATCTCAAATAGTGTTTTGCATATCTCAATATAAGATTTGAAAAATCTTAATGAGAAGTCCAAAAGTATCAAGTTCAGACTTTCAAAAGTTTCAACTTCAGACTTTGAAGTACAAAATTGGGACTTTCAAGCCTTAACTTCGGACTTTTATGTTTGAACTTGAGACTGTCAAGTCTCAATTTTCAACTTTCAAGTCTTAGCTTTGAACTTTAGAGCCTCAACTTTAGATTTTTAAGTGTTAACTTTGAACTTTCAAGTCTTAATCACATGGAGTCTTAAAACTTAAGACTTTAAGCTTCATCTGACGACTTTCAAGTCTCAACATGAGACTTTCAAGGCTTAATTTGAGATGGCTAAGTCTCAACTTGAGACATTCAAAACTTAAATTGGAACCTAAGACTCTAGTCTTAATCTAAGACTTTCATGTCTTTACTTGAGGCTTTCACGTCTCAACTTCGGACTGTGACGTGGACTTGACTTCAGACTTTGACTTGGGACTTTCATATAATCGATTTTTAAATATTTTTTCCATTGAAACTAATCATTTCCACGCACTTGGGCTCAATTTGGTGAAAAGATCCCAAAACTGTTATTGAAGAGAAAAAATCCGAAATTTCCCTGGCTATCCGAAGCTGCAATCGCCTACCCCTTCCCACTTCCTTATTCTTCTGAGATATTTACAAAGAATACCTGAGCGGTTCAGAGTCCTGTCCGTCCCTAGGTTTACTCTTGGGTTTGTTCGCTCTGGGACAGCCAGAGAGGCTTCTGTGGGAGCTGTAGTTGCCGGTGACGTGGCCCGAGCCGTCGCATCCCGGCGTCGGACACTTCAATTCCTGCGAGTGCGCCTGGATCTGGGAGCGATCTGCTCTCGGACAGCCCGAGAGACTGGAAAATATAAGAGAATACAAAATGATGAATCTTTTCAGCTCATAATCTTGACTGTGGAAACAATGCATTTCCGTTTTCTCTAGAAAAACTGATTCTCTTATAGATATAGAACTCTAAACTGAGAGGGAAAATTATTGACGCCCGAGGAATTTGTTTTCGATAAACAAAATTTTCATCAAACCTTTGCATTAAAATTCCTGTCTCACAAAAAAATTATTTGGCATGAATCATTTTTTCTTAGTGTGTAAAATTTCTGGATCGATGCAAATTTTCGTATTGATTTCTATTAAATTTTTTTGTACACGTCACGAATTTCCTCAATTTTCTATTTGATTTTCACAATCAGAGGACAGAATGAAAAGTAATATAATAGAAAAAAAATCTCAATTTATCTTTACAATGAACGTAAAAAAAACACGATTGAAATATTTAATGCAAAGTCTAACGTCGTCAAATGAAATCGTGGAATTCATTTGTTATCCAGTTATTGGAATGGAAATTCAAAGCCAAATGTCGTTAATAAATATTCTTCATAATTATGAAATAGTGTATTTCCATACGCGTGCGGAAACATGGTTCTTGACGTGTGGGAGGTGTGTAACGATCGCCGAAGACGAATGCTGTCCGCTCACAGGTCAAAGAACACTTTTCCCACGAGTGTCGGACGCTATTTTTCATCACAGCGCATGTGAAGTGGGGTTTTGCGTGCGTTAAATGTCACTTTGCACACAGCATGATGAAATGCACTATTTATTATACACACTGTTTCATTCCGTTCATTGTTTATCGATTAATTGTCAAGAATTTTCAATGTGATGAATTGGTCAGTGACATTCCAATACTGTGTTAGACAGAGGTGTTACCGTGTTCTTGGCTAGAAATCATTGCGCTAATGAACAAATTGTCGTTAACGCCCGATTAATCGACATTCATTATACAAATCACAACAGAATGGAGTATTCAATGGCAACGCCGTGTTCAAAAATTTTGGATCACTCGTGAGGTGCAACTGAATATCATTCGAATCAATGAATGTTAAATTTTTTTTTTCATCCTCGAAAATACATAATTAAAATGAATAATTGATTGGTTTCATCAGTTGAAAAACTGTTTGCACTATAGAATTTCAAACGAGCTCTAACGATATAAAATTAAGATACGAAATGGTAATAAGGGTCACAAGGGTCAAAGTCTCATATATGAGACCCCCTGCATGACACGTCTGAAAATGAATCTTGAAATATTTTTCTATCTGTAGTAAAAAAAAAACAATAACATCGAGAGGGAGTAACACTCACACCAGACCCCATTGAAACTCATCTATTGCCAATTGTCGTTAAGTGGAAAAAGACACTCATAGAATCATAATTAACATCCAGTGGGATGTTGAATATTTTTCAAAAACCATGTGGACTTTCATCTCCTTTTGGAATTCATCAACACTTCGTCAGCTTTAAAACTATTTTCGAAAAAGAGGCCTCGAGAATGAGAAAAATTACTTAAATGCGAGAAAGACTTTCTGGCGTGAATTCTCAGTCAAAAAGTGATGAAAAAAACTGAAAGACAGCATGCAAAATTTGTTTTTTTTAACTGGACGATACCAATTAAAGGTACTCTTGAAACAATAAATAATTTCAGGTAATTTTCAAAAATACGAGGTGATTGAACGGTGTGCCTCCATCCCGTATTTTTAGACATTTTAAAAAACTTATTTATCTACTTTAAATCACGCTCAACTCGCTTTCTTCGGTTTTTACAAAGAGAACAAATTTATTAAGCCATCTTTCAGATTTTTCTGTTCCCTTTTGGCCGATTCTATTGAAAAATTCCGTAACTTATTTGTGAGTTTTTTTTCGCTTGAAGTGTTTAATGGAAAATATTCCACAGAATAAATCAATGGAATTCCATGTTTGCTAGTACGAGTTTTTCAATGAAAGGAGAAGAAAAATGAAGTGGAAAAAATTTCAAAAATTCATGTGGAGAAATTCCTATAGAAAATGATTCAATAGTAAGAAATTTGTATGGGTAGATTGAATTCTGATTTTTTTATAGAATACTTTGTATACACTGATACAAAGGATTAGTTATTATTAACAAATGGATTTGGTTGGACGCTATGGTCCATTTAGTCTCACCGAATGTTCATTCCTTAATAGTTAACAAACGTATATTTGAGGTGCATTGTTTGACTCGACTTCCCCTTTCAAGTGCATCATTCGTTAACTGTTAACGAATATTTATTTGGTCATATTCAACTCTACCATTCGTTAATAGTTAACGAATCTCGTTTGGAATAAATGAATCATTCTATCACTGTAGGAGATTTTCTATTAAAAACGCGGAATAAAGCTGTGGAATTCTTCAATAGAATCAGCGAAAAAGTAATAGAATTTTCAATCGAATCCGTAAGATTTTTCTATGAAATTTTTTTGCGTGTAATACCTCACTTGTGACACTCTAATTAAAGGAGGACCCAACGAAATCGTTGATCCACACCTCACCTCGTCCATCGGGGAAGATGGATTGCCAATTGCCTAAAAAATTTCGGAAATTTTCGTGGTGCCTCCCCTCTCCCAATTCTTCCCCGCCCATCATTCAAACTCCTCATGTAAATTTAAATTTCCTGTAACAAAATTTGTTGTCTTCCTCCACTTAATTCCAAAAATATTCATCAAACATTGATGTCATCGCCCCGGCATGTGGTCATTGACATACAGTTCGCTACAATGCTGCCCAAGAGAGGCATACGGCGTAATGAAAATTGAAAAAAAAAACCGGATAGGACTTCAGGAAATTGATCAAAAAATTTTCTCTCAATTTTTTCGTTTTTCGAAAAAATTCACTTTTTTCGTTGGAGTCGGGTCAAAATTATGGAGTGAAAATTTTTATTGATTAAAGGGTACGTTCATTCCACATGTACCACAGACATTTTATGGAATAGAAAAAGGACACAGATATAAGAAAACAAATGGGTAACGGATAGATATTGATTCCATAAACTCGTGCGGGTTTTTTTTATTATCAAGAAAATATATGAAAAATAGAGAAAAATAGACAACGGGTTTCCATATTCGTGCTAGAGACTCAAATAAGGAATTTTTGACTTTTTTTTAGGTATAATATATAAATGAAAAAATTGAACAATTTTTTTTCATCAATTTACCATGTCAGTGATGAAGGGGTAGAACGGGATAAATCAATTTTAGGGCTCAGTTTTTGCTGAATTCATTTTTTAAAACTGTCACCGAGTGCATGGAGAGAGAAATCTTTTCAAAATTATCCTTAAATATGATTATTTTGAATATCACTCAACGTTTCCGTGAATTTTTCAAAAAAATATTGAAATTGTTACTAGCTCTATCGCATTTTAGTATCCGATTTTTTGTGAAATTTTCTAATGCCACACGACGACTCGAGGTCAGAAGAAATTTTTGTCATTCCGGCCGTGAGGCAGCGCTTCACGGACGCTCCGCTCCGCGTCCGTGAATCTCTACCTACGGCCGTCATAACAAAAAATACTGTTCGTCATATGGCCAAAAAAAACTTTTCTAGCTCATATGATTCAAACTCATATTCGCCAGAAAAGTTTCTTTCGGCCTAGTGACGAAATATACTATTTCGATAGATTTTTCTCTTTGTGTGAAGTGAGGATGACGCGTGACACATTATGCCGCTAGGAGCGCCACTGAGAGACAGACCATGAAAACCGGTCCATATCGTTAACCTATAGCAATTTTTTCAGAATTATGGTTAAATTTCGGGTGCTCAATTATCGCATACTTAATCCGGCAAAAAAAATCAGAAAAACAATTAAAGAATCAATTTTACGTTTTTCTACTGGCCACTAATGTAAGGTTTCGGTCTCAGTGCTGCCACCTACGTTGAGTTTCTCATATGGCCATTCTCATTGTGTTATCCCATTTTACAACTTCACTACGAACTGAAATAATTTTCGGGGTAATTTACGATTTTTTAATGTGGCCTTGCCTTCTGTGGGTAGCGTAGTTTCCCGAGATATGACCCATGCCGTCACAGGAGGAGGTGGGACACTGTATGAGCTCCTTGCCGTCGCGGCCACGGGGGACTGATGACCGGGGTGACAGACTCAACGAGTAACGTCGTATACTGCACACCGAACAGGTAATAATTGTTTTTGTTTACGAATATATTCAGCTCAGTAGTAATATATTTATCTGATTATGTTGAATTTATTCTAGATAAGGGTCAGAAAGATAAAAAAAGATCTTGGGCGTGAATGGTGTGGATAAGCTTTTACGCCCTTGACGTCCCTGATTGGTCCAAATAAAGAAGTTCAAGCTCAAGGTCAGCTATTGGTCGAGTGCAAACTTATCTAATATTTGAAGTTATGTCGCAGATCATAAAAGCGCGCCGTCAGTCAGAAGCAGCCATCGTCATCATGAACGTTTGTCGAGAAATTTGTTAATAACAAATTAAATATCTTCAATAACCAATCTCCTCCGAAATTCTAACCTAAAAAACTATAGTCCCCCCAAAATAAGCATAACCTTGAAATTTACCAATATCCGGACGCCCAACTCCCATCACCCTGTTTTCTCATATCCCCACAAAAATTCCTCCAGAATCCCGCAAACAACATTAATGACCTCAAAACGGTGCTCTAACCTAAAAAAAATTGATACACAACATCAAAAATCGTCCGAATGATACCCAAAAAATTATGAGATACGTGATTAGATTATGAAGAGTTTGACTCCACTTCTACGAGTCCATGAGTACTAACAGTTGTCCCATATATGATGACTAATCCCGGACTCATATTTCGAAAAGTCCTGCACGTCGTGAAGTGAGTTCCTATCACAATATGTAAAAAATCGTTACACTCATCTCTGATTGGTCCGGATGAATACTGCAAGTCGGATATTTTTGTCCAGTTGCAACTCATTCAAAAATTTGAGTTTATGTTGCATGCGATAAGACGCCCTGTAAATCGGAAGAATCACACTTGAAAATCTTCAATAATTAATCTGAAAACCGATAGTTCCCCACGTCCCCCACAATAAATATAACCTTAAAATTTTTCAATTCTCCAAACCTCCCATCACTTTTTTCTCATATCCCAACAAAAATTCCCCCAAAATCCCCTAAACAACATTAATAACCTCAAAACTGTGCTCTAACCTAAAAAAAAAAATTCATACACAACTCCACAAATCGTCCGAATTACCCCCAAAAACTATGAGATACGTGGTTAGATTGTGGAGAGTTTGACTCCACTTTTACGAGACCACGAGAGAGGAATGAGGGAGAGGTTATAGAGACTCGTCTGAAGCCCTCAATGACCCTTGAGTGGGCACGCTATATTGCCCTCCCACCTTGAGAGAGAATCCACTAGGAAGCCTCTTCTTGAGTGCAATCACGACGTGCGCATATATATAGGCCTCTTAGGGGATCCTGGAGAAACCGTCTGGAAACATTCCTGGAGACTATATACTCCACAAGTGGATAGAAATCATTTAACCTTCTCTCCTTTTTATTCCAATTTCGATCCGTTGAATTTGGAAAAAAAAAAATAATAAATGACCGCAGACCTGAAGAAACGGATTTAACGGAAGAGGGAGGTTAGGGTGTGCCAATAAACGTCGAGAGAGGAATACAGAGCTGTAATATGGTTACGTGAAAACTCTGGTATATTAGGTGGTTTATATTGGCTTGGGCCATTAATAACGTTGAAGTATCGTTTCTGTATCGACTTTATAGGGATGGAGAAAACCACCGGAGGCGTACGCCAGCAACCACCTTTCATGCCAAAGGTATTTTACCAAAAACAATTACGGAATTTGGATGGATTGCGTGGTTATCTATTTGACGGTCTCGATACTTTCCATAAATTAACTATTTTTAAAGAGATTGTGAATTGAAGTAGATGACCAAGACAAATCCTGATGACTGGCTTAATAGCCAATCTGCAACTTTTGAAGACTTTCATAATAGTTATTTTCATCACAAGGTCCACAAAGTATTTTCTGACAAATGTGGCTTTGTAGGCCGAGCCGAAGGCGAGGCCTATAATCGCATTCGTCAGAAAATACTTTTGGACCGTGGATGAATGCAATTTTTCGTCAGAAGGCTCGTAAACCGCGATCTAATCGAGCGAAGCGAGATTAGAACCGCGGTTTACCGGGCCTTCTGACAAAAACCTAATTTTGCGTGCGGAATTTCCATGGTTTCCATTGTTAATCTGTTAATTTCTCAATGAAAACAACTGAAACCAAATTTTTCCAAAGATTTAAGAAGTAACATTTGGTTACAGTAGCAGTTGTGAATTTTTAGGTTATAAAATTCTCATTAATTCAACTTAACCTCAACACAACAGTTAATGCGATTTCCTTCTCCATAATCCACCGCGGTAGCAACTGATTATATACGCTAAACTCCTCAAGCCAAACCATTCACAGGTTTATCCCGCCGCCCTCCCTAACCCATCTTCTTCTTCAAACCCGGCATTTTGCCGTTATATACCACCATAGAGATTTACGTCAATTAGAATAAGGTTGGCACTTTCGCCAACGAAGAGTAATTACTTTAATTAACAAAATTGGATGCACGAGTGTACAGCAGCGGTTGAGGGTACCGATGATGGCAGAATTTTGCCACAGGTAAATTCATGTAATTAATGGATTCGATTCGAGGCGTTCATTAGAAAATAATTTTTGCTTGTTCTAGGCATAGGTGGTGATTATCTTACCTGTCGTCTTTTCCTGAAGATTTGTCGAGACCGCTGATTGTGTGCTGGGGTGGTGGCATGCTGTAGCAGGGCGCTGGACTATAGCCGGTGGGGATTTGGTAGCTGGAGGTTACTGGTCCGCCTGGATAGCTACCGGTGCAGTTGTAGCCAGCTGTTGGGTACGGGGTGTATGTATTGCCTGGGTATTCTGGTTGGACGCCGGTCATCCCGTAACCTGGGTGGGGACTCATTGGCCCGTATGCTGAGAGAAGAACAGGAAACGCTTCTTCATTAAATTAGACAAAAGTTGCTCTGATGGGAAAGTATGTTTCAGAGTTGATTATTTACTTTTGATTTGGAAATATTTCGCTAGATTGATACTTTTTGTTAACTTCTGGATGACAGGAATAAAGGGGTTGAGATCGTCGGTAAGTATTTCAACTTGATTTTCACGGATAATGTTTTCAACGGTTTACATTTTACATATCAAGATTCTACCCAGTTAGATTTCATTATGCACCGGCCGGGATTTGCACTCGAAACCTGTTTTATGTGACTAACAATGCAGTTAAATTCGAGATTGAATATCCTATTCACTAGACCATATGGGAATTTATTTCGTTAAAGGTTATACTCGCCCTGTTGGCTTTCTTCAAAGCGTCAAGAATATTACCTAAAACCTTGTTTCTCCATATTACATGTTCTCAGCACAAATCAATAGAAAGAACTTATTATGTTGACCAGATGATTGCAACTCGATTTGTTTATTTCTTCAAGTAAACAAATCCTGCATGAAAGCTACTCAGTCAGAGAACCATGATTATTGATGGACATGGAGGATTTCAATGTTTACAATTTCGTTGGATGTATTTGAATTAGGAATTGTTGATGGTGTCCTTCTTCTCCGTCAATTAATCTATTGGTGAATCGCGTATGAACAACGTATAGACTGATCCCTTTGGGATGTACTCCAAATATCCTAGGTGCTAGATCATATCGGAATTTTGAAACATCAGTACAATTATTTCTCATATCCATCTATTTGAGGAAGCTTGGAATCGAGTCATCTGTAGCTTTCTCTGAAGGGTTAAAACCACTTCTTAAAGGCATATTTCTTCACGGAACAAGTTTTTAACACAACCCTATAGAAAGAACTTATTATCACGGATGCAGCCATGCGTCATCGGATAACGTGATACTTAATTTGGGTCATATTGACTGGATAAGTGCATGGACATGCTACTCATTTACTGAGTCATAATTATTGGTTAAGTAGAATAGTTTTGATAAGAAGGTATCAGGGTTCGGTCAGTTTCGTTTGATTAAAAGATCATCAATCATATGTATTTCGTGAGTTCATGAATCGGCGGATTAAGTAAGAAGGAGAACACTTCATAGAGCTGCTAGATTTGGAATAGGTACCAAATACCCTATCCATTTGATCATATGGGAATTTCCAATAATTAGTTTACCTGCTTCGCCAAGACCCCTCTCCCCGTGGGGAAGCTTATGAGTACGCTTTTCGTTGTTCTCTCCGAAGGTCTCAAACTACCATCTAGAACCCCACTCCCCCTACAATAAGCATTGGACATAAGTCTGTAGCAAGACACATATTCACTCATACATTATGCGATCCAATAATACCCAATTCAATTCCTCCTAATTGAGCATCACAATACCGCAAATAAACAAACCATCCCCAAGAAGGGAATGCCTTTAAACCGAGTCTATTTACCTAATAAAAGTACCATTTTTCCAGAATATATTTTTCTCAAACCAAGTATCATGTTGGCTCATTGAATACAGGAATAGAATGGTATGAGTTGGAACGTTGATAGCAATGGCGTCGACGTTTCCCTGTTGTACGTCGAAATGTTTCAATTTCAATAACTACTCCCCCGGCGTACGTCCAGTCACGAGTAAAAGGCGAGTGAGACAGTTGAATTTCGGTACAATGTATTGCAAAAGCAAGAGGGGGACGAGAAGAGGACGGAGGAGGGGGTAGAGAGAGGGGAAGAGAATGGAATGAGGAGAGTCGGACGTACGACGGTACTTTTGCATGGCTTGGACTCCGCGTACGAAATATTGATAATTAACAATGGGTCCAGTGTTGGGATGGAGGGGAAATGTTAACGTTATATATTATATTCCGGCGTTTTGGAATGCATATGCACATGAATACGTTAGTCATATATGAAAAGCGGTTGTGTGAGGTATGAGTTTGATGGTTTCAATGTGGCGGATGTGTATTTGGCGAGAGCCGACGAAATGAGTTTGGTTTTCGGAAGGGGTGGAGAGGAGGAGGGGAGAATTTAGAGGTGAGAGGGTGGTTACTCTATTACCAAGGACCGTGTAGCGTTCAGCCGAATTTTTATTCGACGCTTGTAACTGGATGCCCAGGCAGGCCCTAGGGAGGCTTCATGCGTTTTTTTTTTAGGTTTCCCTTTGTTCTGTTCTGTTTCCATTCGTTGAAATTTTTTTTCACCTCTAGTGCCCTCGGGGAGACTCTGTATGTATCACTTTTTCATTTCGATTTTGTACTTGGGAGTTTTCTGGGGTTATGAAGGGGCGGGGGATTTCCGTTTCCATGAGGTGGTTTGAACGTCCTATCTGGCTCATTAGTTCGGGAGATGCTTGTAGGAATGGAATGAGCAATAATTAATGGGTTGATCATTATGACTCACCAGTTGGATCTCTGTATGCGTCCATGTAGTGGGAGACACCGCTATCGGGTGTGCTTTCTCGGCTGTAAGCGGCTGCATGAACACCTGGTGGTGGAAAACCTACGGGCCTGATTCCAGGACCACCGCTAAAATTGACGGGTTCGTTGGCTGTTGAAAAGTCAACGGGTTCTGTCTGTTCCTCGATTGGTCGAGGGGCTGGGAAGGGTGGACCCACTGCAACGGGAACAGCATCGCCGTGGGAGGTTGGGTACTGTGGACTGGGAGCACCGCTGAAGAAGAAAGGAATCATGATCCCCAGCCCAAAACAATGGTGAGCCAAAGTTATAGTTGATAAAACTCACCTGTGAAGCCTGTTGACGCTGAGATCCAGTGTTTGTCCTTGCGGACTTGGTACTTGCGGACTGGCCGTCAGGTGCGGACTGGCAGCAGCTTGAGGACTTCCACCCACAGTTTGTCCCCCACCGTACTGAGGACTGAGGCTGTTGGAACCGTAGGGTGGAGCCTGTGGACTCGTCGAGGTGACGCTGGATGTCGACAAATCCATGACCGAACCACCTGGTGATGTCGGTGGTCCGCTCTTCGGCATCTGCACACACTTGACTTCTTCAGACTTGATCATCACACCGGTAGCTGCAGCCATCGCCATCTGGTGCTGCTGGACCGCAGTGGCTTCTTGCTGATAAACCCTCTCCTGCTCATCAGCCGTCATCCCAGTTTGCCCAAGGTAATACATGTTCGCTCTCGAGTGGAGCTGCTGCTGTTGCTGCTGAGCCTGTTGACTTTGAAAAGGTCCACAACTTTGGCTGTCGTATCGCTCGTAGCCGGAAGCGGAACCCGGATCGTACGGCCGATGGTTCGTTGCGCTCGAGACATTCTCGTACCCTCGTGCAGCTCCAACGTCATTGGAGTAGGTAACAACCGGTCGCGCGATTCCGTTGCTCGTTTGATGCATGTAGGCACGATGCTCAGCACTTCGGTGATGATAGATATCCTCGCTGGTTGTAGCCACAGCTGCCATCATCGAGGGTTCATAAGGAGATCGCTGCGACATCTGGTGCGTCATTCTCGTGTCGTCCACCATTGTCATTGGGTAGGTCACCGTCGGTTGCATCGGCAAGACGTGATGACTTGAATGCTGTGTTGAATGATGAATCGTTCCAATCGATCTTGAACCCATGTCCAACGACGACATCGACGAGGAATTCGAATCCTGATTCATATATGCGTCGTATGTCTGTCTAGGGGGTGGTGGGGGTGGTGGCGAATTCACTCGACAAGACGACGTATCCTCAGTCTTCGGGACTAGAAGCTCGGGATTCCGGGGAGGTATCGCACTGCAACAGGTCGTCGGTGGCGATACCTCTGTTTTTGGGGTTACTTTTGAAGAACTTCGGGGATTTTGGTCCTCGGGGGTTTTTGGTGGCTTCACGTGGAGACCAGGAGTTTTGTAATAATCGTACGTTGGCGAGGCTACGACTGGCTTTGTCTCGGGTGCTTGTGATGAGTAGATCGAGTAGCCTTTGACATCCATAGAACCTGGGAGCAGGTTCGTGCTTATGAACTCGGGGGGAATCCCGGACACTGGGGAATCAGAAAATCGTCAGATTGGTGGAGGGGATGGCAGTGGCCAGTTGACAGTCTGGGAAATATTGTTGATGTGGCGAGATCTCGTGGGAGAAAATGGCAGTATGAGTGGTTTTTGGGAACGAAAATCTCCCAGGCTGTTCACTGGCGCCAAATTCAAGTCTAAGTTTTGACGCTTTCGCGTCGGAATGACTTTCTAGGGATGTAGGGTTTACCTTGGGCCTTGTGACGGGCCTCTCGTGCTGCTTGCTTATTGGCTGCAGCAACGGGACAACCTGACAAGCTTCTATGGGTATTCCGATTGGAGCTTACGTGACCACGACCATTACAACCCGGTGTCGGACACTTCAATATTGTCTCATGCAGCGCTAGAACTGTCGAGAACCCAGGCAATTACCGAGAGGCAAAAATTATGATTGCTAATCACCAGAATCCATTTTGGAAATTTTTTTTTTCATTGGCATTTTTGATTTTGAGAAAATCACCACGCACGGGAGGTACGATTGTGAAGATGGAAATAAATCATTTTCAACAATAATACGAGAAGAAAATTAATGAGAGGTAAACAAAATAATTCAATTAGACTTGGACAGACGTTCACGGAAAAAATAAACATTAATGTGTAAATAACAGTAAGAATAATATAATCCAGCGGGTAGAGAGTGTTGTACCAATGAACGAGGACAGAAAATAATCAAAAACAGGTACGTGAGAGGTTAATTGGTTTTTTAAACTCTATTTTTTCGTTCAATAAAATTATTGTAAGAAAAAGAAAAATGAGGGAAAATTGCTAGTTTCTCTTCTGGATTTTCTCGGCTTGCGACGGCTACTGCGGTGACGTCACTAATTGGACAGCAAAGAGTTACTAATTGCGCCTTCAATTTATTTTTAATATAATTCAGTTACCACGATTTCTTCTCTGTTAATTCCCTACGTATGAGTAATTATTATTCTAATTAGATTGCTTCGAAATAAAAAATTTACCCAGTTTGTTATTATTTCATTGATTCTGGCGTATACGCACATGCAGTCTCGGTAATTCGTCTCGGGATCTCGAAGCTCATAAAAAAAAATTGAACCTCAATTGCGTGGACCTAATTAATTAATTAGTTACTGAAAATAACGGAAAATAGCGAAATGTTTTTGTTCTATTTCTGGTACTAAAAAATGTGGAAATGAAACAGTTTATTTTTCTTCTATTATTGATGAGGTGAAGTGAACTGAAAAAAATGAAGCTCTCTACCCCGCAGAAAAAAAATGAAAAATTAAAGCAGAAATAAATGGTTCTTCAAACAGACAGACAATACACATTGAATTTTTTTTATTCGGAAATAATGGTAAATAAATCATGAACACACTAACTCACATACGCTCCCCGCGGTGCAATTTTTTATTTTTTTTAAAGTTTTCTAATAATTCAGTAGTTGAGGAGAGGGAAAAAGGTCTAGAAATTCGGAATGAGAACTTTTTTTAATTCTACATAAAATCTTCGAAAATTTTCAATGAAAAAATTTTGATCATTTTTTACACTTTTAAATTTTGGGTGACAAATTTTTAACGATTTTGAAAAATGAATTTTCAACGGAAAATTTTGAAAAATTTGAGATATTTTTTGTTGAGATTTTTTTTATGAAAAAAAATGGGCGAGCCTTTCAGCGTTTTCAATAGACGTTTTCCTTAAATTTTTAATAACTTTTAATATTTTTTTTACAATTTTATGAGAAAAATACATGTAATTTTATGTGAAAAATTTCTCAACTACTGAGCGAATTCACTAAAAGCGAAAGGTGTACTCGTAAAAAACAAATTAATGCAAAAAATTACACACATTAAGACTGAATTTAAAAAATACTCACTCTCAGGCGTAAGTTTGTCCTTTCTGGGACACCCAGATAGACTGAAAAAAGGAATAATTTGTATAAAATTCCCGTGTGATGGATGAAGCCGCGATAAATCTAGGGAAAAGTTCATGGATGTGCTTCTGCGTGTGCAAATGGAAACGATTTAACCCCTCTGGCTAGTTGTACCGAGGGGTTTCGGATTTGAGCGTTGAAAGCGGTCAGTTAATTACCGATAATTGGTTGCCTCACCTGCGATGGTGCGAGTAGAGTCCAGTTACGTGACCTTGACCAGTGCAACCTGGGGTTGGGCACTTGTTGCCCTCTGTAACACAAATCAATGAGTGGTTGAGTGAATTTTTAGTTTTTTTAGTTTTAGTCCTCGATTATTATTCATTTCTTTATTGATTTTATATTCTTTACTACCAAATAGAAGTATGTTAATCATCCAATTGTCAGATTCTCTAATTTTGATTAAAAATTATGTAGAATGGCCAAAATATTCCTTGTGATAATATCTATCAAATCAAATCACAATAGTACTGTGTAACTAGGGACAATTTGGTAATTTTATTTTTATTTATGGAAATATCGTTCTGTGCACAATAACTCCCGAAAAAATTTAGATAGGATGTTGAAATTTGGAAATTGTAGCTCTTATGATATTACATGATTGAATTGTGGGTAGGCGAAGTCGAACAAGTGGTTTAGAAGATATTCAACTTTTTGTCAAAAACTGTTTTGTTCAATATCTCGCAAACTACTACTCCGATTAATTTTATTTATTTTCTCAGAATACTCGTCTTGTTTTTTTATTCGATGACAATTGAGAAAACTATTCAGTCTTCGCGAGAATTTGCCGATTTTCTAAATAATTCAAGAAAATTGTTCACTTTCCTAGAAAATCGATTCATAACACTTCCCTTATTTTTCAACAATTAGGGCGGGTATTGATCGGGTCTAGAAATGCAAGTACGTCTCATGACCCATCATATGAAGAGGCGTTCATGACAACTGTCACAATTCTCCTCCCCCTTCTATGACCGTCACAATTTCCCAAGAAAAAATGAGTCATTTTTCATCTATATAGATAGAGCTTCATATTTTCTTCATTATTTTTTATTTGAATTCATTTTATTCCTTTTTGCTTCCGAATGGAAGCATTGTAATCATGCAAATTTAAGTTTTTGATTTTTTGTTTTATATGGACTTATTATGACCCCAAAAGTCCGAATATGCATTTTTTAGACCGTGTCCGTACGTGTGTATGTATGTGCGTGTGTATGTAACAAACGTTTTTTTCGATTGTGCGCTAGGGAAGCGATGGAATCGAATAATTTTTTTCTTTCAAATGTAGCTATTGGTGAGCCCTATCCACCACCATAAATTAAAATTTAATTCATTCATTCATTTTTAAAATTTTTGAATTTTTTTGAAAATCGGTTTTTTCACCATAATTTAAAAAAAATGTTTCAAATTCATTAAATGACGGCTCAAAAAGATCGTTGGGGTCTCTTCTTGACCGAGTTCGGAGATGGAGATGCAATTCATTAATTGTGGAGTCTTAATTTCGAGTACCAAATTTTTATCACTAGAAGTCAATCTGGATTTTTATACTATAGAGAGATTTATGAAGGAAGCTTCTCCTAAGTCAATGAGGTGATAGATAAGCGCGCGCTTCCTGTGTAGTGGAAACAAAAACTAGTGGAAAACAACACATAAAATTACTTAAATAAACTAAAACCTGCTAACGACATCACGTATCGTAATCCAATTTGCCGCATAGGGAGGTGGTAGGCGAGATGAAGGATCGAGGGAGGGGGGAGGGGAGGGGGTATTGGTAAGGGATATATGGATATATGGCTACAGAGGCAAAAGAGAGGAAGCAACTAAGCAGGGATCGGGGCTCTCCTACGCGAAATGACAGCCTGATGAAGTTTTGCCGTCATGGCGCGGTGGCTCCTAACGTTGAGCTGAATAGAGCGGTGATGTAGGGGAAGGGGTGGATGAGGGGGAGGTAGGAGGGTGTAGGGCTGGTGTTGGAGATGGGGATGGGGATAAGGCCTTGTGGGATTAGCGCACGACAAAGTTTATAAAAGTGTGCTTTGGTCGAAAAAAAATCCCAGGAGAAGCATCTCGACGAACTAATGTCTATATCTGTTCCTGACTTTTTGTCGGATTCTTTCACACGTGACGCACGTACTATCGGTCTGAGGGATTTCATACGTGGAGAAAAGAAGTTTTTAACTTTTTTCAAGGGAAAATCTTTGCGGAATCTGGTTAATTATAAGGGCGTTTATTAGCCTTGCAGTCAATACAATTCTATCAATTAAAATGATGTGATTGAAAGCGACGTTTCGATGTTCAAATTCGAGGCCCTCATCGGGGCAACGAACCAAATTTTAAATTTATTTTTCTGCAAAAATCCAAAAATTACTGGCAGCTAATCCAAATATGTAAGCTGAACTATGAGAGGATGAAACAAAAACAAATTATCTTACTAGGCCCGAAAACCGTGATTCTAACCTCGTTTTGCTCGGCTAGATCTCGGTTTTCAGGCCCGTTACATAAAATAGTTTGTATCATATGTGCCACAAAGTAGTTCTTGACGAATATGATTATAAACACACATAGGTTCATCAGAGGTTCCCCACAGTTGGCGCCTCCTTTTTGAAAAATACATATATTGAAAACTATAGTTTCCAAGATTCAGAAAATTTTCAATCTCATCGCATCGAAATTGAGATGTTTAATTTCAGAAATGTTTTCTTCTCAAAATTGGACAAAAAAAAATTTTAAACATTGGTTTAATTTTCTAAATTTCTGGGATTCAATTTTTGAAAAAAAAAAATTATATTACAAAGTATAAATTTATATTTAAAAAACGACAGGTGCATTTCAACTATGAGAAACCTGCCACTGAAAAATGAAAATATAATTTCCTATTATTTATTAAATTATTTCAAAATCAAAATTCATATGATTCGACTCCCTCAAGGAAACCGTAACATAAGGGGGCCACCGGTAGGCGTCAATAGTGACAGCTATTCGCTCAGCAGTCAGTCGTACTCTGTGGCCAGTAACAGTTTTTCCCTTTATGCCCCAACGATACTTTGTAATCAATAGTCACTTGTTATTCGAATCCCCTGACGTTCTTTTACGTTTTTGCTATAATGTTAACTTCCACGACAGCTTCTCAACGTGCAAAAGACATTGATGTGGTGAAAATGGAATAAAAAGAAACCTGTTTTCATGGACTAAAATATCATTCTGACTTTATGGGTGAGAAAAAAATGTACGTGTCGCGGAGTTCCCCACGTGCTAAATTCAGAATTTATTTTTGATATTTCTGGAGAGAGATGGACAAAATCATAATATCTAATTAAAATTATTTCATTACATACAAAATCAGTCGACTGTATTGTACAATTATTCAATTTTTATTCATCTAATCAGCAATCAAATGTTTCCAATTTTTTGATATTTTTTTAAATCGGTATTTGACTTGGCACGATTGACGATTATTTGATTTATCGACAAATCAAATTCAGAAATTTAAAATTAATTGTTTAGTGATGATTGAGAATCAAAAATTGTTTTCAAATTTAAATAAAAAATTAACTGAATTTCAACTCTTTAATTGAGTGAACTTACTTAAATCACTGACTTTCATTCTTCTTTAAGGGGGAACTACTGTGAGTTTTAAAAGTCGCGGGATATTGGAGTGAGATTTCTCATGCATTGAAATCGATTATGTATAACTAAAAACGAATAATTAGTGCAAAAAAGTTAATTGTTTATTCTTCGTTTGCTCCGGCTTCCAATTCTTGAACTTGTTTGTGTTAACATTTACATGTGTCACTTTGACATGTCATCCTTTTTTTTTTTATCGTTATTTTGCATCGCTTCGACCCGGTTAGGGTATACTGCGATGATGATCAAGACTTTAAATGGTTAGATCGCACCATTCTACCCGGCCGGGATGTGAACTCGGAACCTTTCGCATGTGAGGCAATGAACTTACCCACTGCGCCAAGCCACCGGGCTAACATGTCATCTAAAATTCAAATAAACTGGGTGATTCTCGTCTTCTTGCTAAAAAAAATAGGAATTCCATTGAATTCCCAGTAAAATTCGAAACTGCATGACTTTGCTGAAAATTTTCCCTAAACTGTCCCTGAACTTTCCATTTTTCCCCAATAGTGAGCAACAGTCCCCCATCGATATTAGCAATAATTCACCACAAGTCTGCAACTGCTGCCCCCATTTCCATCCGTCTCAAACCCCTGAACACGAAAAAACCCGCATGATCCCGTGAAAACAAAAATACCAACAAAACCCAATCCTCTCTTTCCGGTGCAGCCAGAGGTGCGGAATTAATAAATTAGCCGTAAGGTCCACAAAAAGAAAATCTGAAAACCCCGAGGATCAACTCCCACCCCCTCCAGCAGCAAGGGTAATGGGTCCGGTCAACAAAATGAATACCGGCACGCGCCATATCCCTCTCCCACATCCCTCTCTCCCTCATTTTTCCACCCCCGTACGTCTGAATAGACTTGTAACGAGCCGGACCTTCTTTTTTCCTCTACCATCTGACCCTTTTGCCCAAGCCGAAAGTGAGAAAAAGAGGCAGATAAACCCGTGAAAACCGAAAAAAAGGGGTAAAAAAATACTGGAAAAATAGAAATAGGGGTGGCTGCGCTGAAGAGTGGATGAGTACTGTTTTTTTCCGTTGAAGAAAGAGGGAAAAAAATGCACGAGGGGGAGAATTTGGCCGAGTGTGTAATTGTGTTACCTCGTAGCCATTTCATGCGCGAGGGTCAACCATGGGAAACCGAGAGGTGTACGTAAACACCAGTGTAGGATGGGGGGTGGGATGGAAGATTGTGTTATTCATTCGACGGACGAGTGAACAGTGAATTTATAACCGTATCACGTGAATATCCACCTGGAAACCATCCCCGTTATCCGTATTATCATTCTTGAATTTTTTACTGTTTTTTTCCCACTTTTATGATGCGGTTATGGGTGGTAATCGTGAGATGAGTGATGATGATCAGTGATTTCGCCTCTCCTGATTTCGCTAGATTAAATCTAGTACTGATCTACGTATCGGTTGAGTTTACAACACGGGCGATAAACATAATTTTGATTTTGTTTCCGAATGAAAGCATTGTAATCGTCCAATTTTCACATTCTCTAATTTTGTTTGGAAATGATGTAGAATAATTTGAAATGTGAAAATATGAAGTTTGGCGTTAATGTTCGTATGTGAGCTTGTCCAACGCCATCTTCCCGGCGGTCATTTTTTAGGAAATTGCGTAA